AGGAGATGGGATCTGTCCCAGCAGGGCTGGGTCCCCAGGGTGTCATGCAGGGGGGGACGTGGTTCCTGGGGTGTTCAACCCCTGGGGTGCCATGGCCAGGACCCGAGGGGCCGGGTGTGGTGATCCAGGTGCCTCCAGCCAGACGGGATGCAGCAGAGATGCCCCCTCTCCAGCCACCACCAGGTTAAATGTCATTTTATTTCACACCCCCCCAAAATGTAGAAAAGAAGAGGTGAGTGGAGATTTACTCGCTCATATTAAAAATCCACCAGGTGAGATGGGGCCGTTTCCACCAGTCTGTGCAGGTCTGCAGGGATGTTGCTTCCTCCTCCTCCACAGCCAGATGCTCAGGGATGAGGTGGAGGACAGGGAGGTGCCACCTGCCCCTTCCCCCCTCCCCAAGGTGTCCCCATGCCATGGGCACTCGCTGCTGCTGGTCCCACCAGCCCCCCCTGCCCGGGTCCATCCTGCCCAGCACCCCTTGGGCCAGGTTTAATATTTTATTTCTGTGTATTTCTTATTGTCCTTTTTCCCTTTTCTGTACAAAATGAGCAGTGTGGTGATGGGTGTAGGTGACACGGTGACCTTGTGGTGGCTGCCCTGTGCTCACTGCAGGAGGGCCCGGATCTGTTTGGACGTGGTGTCATCGTTGAGGTGCCGGGTGGTGTACCTGGACAGAGAGGGGACTGTCACCCCACTCTGCTCCCATCCCACAGCACCCGTGGGAGATGTTTTTTTCCCCCCCCCCCCCCCCGTGTCCCCTCAGCTCACCTCAGAGCATTCAGGAGCCCTTCGGTGCTGGTTGAGGGTTGATCTTTCAAAACTTTGATGCAGCCTTTCATCTGGTGGGGGGAGCAAGAGAGGTTGGTGAGAGCCCAGATGTGCCCCCCGTTCCTCACCATCCTCCTCCTCGCTGCTCAGGGGGGCTGAGCTCCCCCTGGACCAGCTCAGAGACATCCCCATAGGGGTCATCCAGGGTGAGGGACCCCTGAGCATCACAGCTAGGATGGGATGAGTGGGACAGCTGGGACCCCCCCCCAGCCACTCACATCAATCTTGGAGGTCTTTGCGAAGGCCCCCACGGGGTGGACGTGGTCGTAGAGGATGATGACTCCAACCATCACCCTCATGCAGAAGAGGAGGGTCTCGGTGTTGGTGAAGCGGCTCCGGTACTCGCTGTGTGGGGAGAGGGGCTGGCTGAGCCCTGGGGGGTGGCACAGGGACCCTGGCACCAAGATGTTTCCCCACCCCCCACCCCACGCAGGGTACTCACGGGGTCTCCAGCATAACCCTGCAGACACAGGCCATGGTGCTCAGGCAGTCAGTTGTGTCCTCAATTGGGAGGGTCTTGTTCTGAAACCAGACAGGTCCCAGCTGCCACTTCCCCTCCTGACCTCCTGCATGGAGCCAGGGCTGGAGGAGTGTGTGTGTGTGTGTGGGGGGGGGGGGCCGCCTGCCG